TAACCTTGAATTGATTATATAAGATAAATTAGAAGTGTTTCATTCTTCAACGATTTTTGTTGTTGGAATAATTCAATTTTTAGAAGTATCTTCTTAATCAAACATCATAAAAAGTAATATCAGAATAAACAGTAAAAGCATACAGATAATCGGTTATTTTCGTGCCTTTCTATTATAATACCAAAACAAATTTACCCCTAGCTGTTATATCCATTTAAATTTTTTTTTTATGATAAAGGATTAGCATTTTTGTTCCGAGGGAAAACAATAAAATATTACCGAATTCCTCAATGAAAGATTGAACTGCTAATGAATTTAAACACTTTCTTCTTTTGAAGTATATGAACCCTCTACCTGTTCCAAAGAAAAAAATACCAGGTGTAGGCATCTCAATCAACAGGCGGCATGCGGCGAGAGCAATTTTTAGAAGTTCGTTTGTTGCAATTAGAACTTTTTCTTGCCAAAAGGTTGAACTAATTACATAAATCAATTGCGTTTGTTTGTATTTAAATTTTTCTAAGTATTATATCGGTGTATCGGCGGTAAATCTGGATACGGTATCTCGATGCCAAGAAAGAATGAAACAAACTAGCTGATTCACTCACGCGAGGGGAAATGGAAGCTAACGAAGCATTATTATAGAACCGAGTGGCGAGCTTAGCCCTTTGTTTTTATCTTGTAGCAAAGATAAATTTCTCACACTATCCAAATTCAAAGAAAAACATTCCTTAAAACTCAGATCTACACTTTGATTGATGCTTAACAGCAATTGGTATCGATTTATCAGGTTCTAGAAATTCTTGACCTTCAATTTTCTCAATCATCAGCAAATACTTGTTAGAATTTAAACAGAAGTCGGAGTAAAAAAAATGAAACCCTTTGAATCCTTTTCACTTTGTTAATCTTTTAGAACACTCGAAAAACGCTTTAAATACCATGAATCGTGAGTTCTCAAATCAAGTCAACAGATTTCAAAGTAAAGATTCTAAGAAAGCGCAATACTTCATCTGTTTCAAAGAGATACTTGACACGACAGACTAGTGTATGTCAAAATAATTTGGAAAGAAACCTTCATTCCCAAAACATTTATCCTTGTACCATTTTAAGAAATAGTCTATTTAGAAAAGCCTTTTGAAATCTTAAGAAAAAAATTCTCTTTTGATTCTACAGAAGGTTGAAGAAAACTGTCATCTAAGCTTGCATTTAACGAAGCATTTTCAGACGTTCTTTGAAATTTGATTTGACAAAATTTCTGTATTTTGTGAAAATTCCAAAGGCATCAATATTAGTTTAAATATGTAATTTGGACGCTATTATGTTTTTATTTGTAGGTAGATACAAATGTTGCAAATAAAGTGATACACGGTTTTGTTGATTTCAACAATGAATCAAAATCGACAACATTCCCAGCAAAACATTCCAAGAAATGGAAGGCAGCAAAAAGGAGACGGCAGAAAAAGAAGCTGAACAAAAATCGAAAGAAAAATAAAAATAGAAAAAATAAATCTATGAAAAGAAAGAAAAGCAGAATTTTTCACAGACTAAAACCAATCACAATCCGACAGATTATTGAGATGGTTGCACAAGAAGCACTGACCAAAACATCCGGGTCCTATGATTACAATCAGTTGGAGGCTGAAATTTTAAATAACAATTTCCTGCCAAAAACGCCACAAGTTTCCAGTGCACGTGACGAATCATCAGTGAAACTTCAAATTGACGGTAAGATTTTTATGATTTATCCCCTCGCAACGGTGTTGGAGGGGATATCACTAACGCAGTCGTTTGTGTTCGTTTGTGGGTGGGTGGGTTTATTCTGTGCGAAACAAGTGACGTAATTTGCATAGGTATCGATGTCAAATGCTGTCTTGACTTATAGATATGCTCTTTGCGAAGGAATGCTCCGCCATTCATTCTCTTTGTTGTTTTTACTAAATACTCACGAAAAATGTTTGAGTAAAAAAATAAAAGTTATTTATAAAAGAGTACATGAAGTTATATGTCTGATTACCATTTGACTTTTCGGCAGCAAGTTCCAAGGAATGGTCATCGTGGAGTCTGTGTTCTGTTACATGTGGAATGGGACAACAAGAAAGATCACGTGACTGTGGATCAGCGTGTCGTGAAATGGAAACACAAGCCTGCTACCGCAGACGTTGCTATGGTAATCAGCAATCAATCTTATAGAAAAAGGAGACTTCAATTTAAATATGATTCTTTATGCAAAAATCTTTTTATCGAAATTTTCTAGTGAATTTGGTGGTAGATTTATTATTTGTAATTGCAAAACTTTATCCTCATGAACCACACAAACCATGGACTACAAATTAATATACTAGTATTTAGATTTTAGATTTCTCAAAATTAATTTTGGTATTTTTAATATGCAGTTTGATGTAATATCAAGTTATCTTTATTGCAGATGATTCTGCAAGAAAAAAGAACAAATTTGCTTGGGAGTACGAAAATATCATCCCAGATTCTACGTTAAGGCCAAAGGATTTCATCAACCCTGGTGAGACGTGCATATAATATGTCAGGCATTTTTTTTTCAAATTTTGTGTTATGTTTCTTTTTCAAAATAGTTTTTAGAAAGCATTTTCTCTAATAAATCATTTTTTAGAGAAAGATGTATGTAAGAGATGGATGGCGTGTAATAAAGACACCATATCATCTTATCTGAAGCGTGCAGCTCTTCCCAGCTGTCCTTGCTTGTACCCACTGCACCTGGGATATAACCCCAAAGTCTGGGACCCCCACGCCAAGAAACACTACAGCTGGGCGGACGTGGACACAAAGGCAGAGGGCTTATATGCCTACAAACCTAGCGCTCGGTTCTGCATCAGGTCAAAACTTTATAAGGGTGTGAAGACTTTATCATCCCAGATGTGTTGCTATGACAACGAATTCAAACTTATCACAAGAGGAAAAGGGGCGGGTACCCCGAATTTGATTAGTCCAGAAATGTCCCCTGAACTTCACCACAAACTGGATATAAATCCATGGATTATTTGTAAAGGTGACTGGTCCAGGTAAGTGTCGCCTAATGACGTAATAAACAAAATTATGAAGTTCATCCATTTCTTATTAAAGGAGGAAAAAACTTTGTCTTTTTTCTGTTGTTTCCAGGTATAACCAAATTCTACCTCCAGATAATGGCCGAAAATGCTCAACGAATCCAGATGACAATGTCATTTTGCAACAGAGAATAGACAGTGAGAATTACTAACGTGATGTGTATGGAAGATGACGTCATAAAAAAGGTGCCTGTTACTAAAGGAGGACATTGCTTCGGCAGGACGGAGTAAAATGTTCTACTTCCGGTGTTATGAGTCCTTTTTCGTACTGATGTGTGTTTGATTTCTTGTGACATGCACAGTATCTGTGTGTCATTGTTAACACAATTGTTCGCTCATACGGGTATCTGGATATTTTATTTTGTATATAAAATGGTTTTATTTTCATAAATGTGTAAAACTAATAAAAACAACACGTTTGTTTTTCACTGAATTTATCGTTTCACAAAATAACCATGAGCATTTTTATTTTAGCACTTCAATGTAAGTAAAAAGTAATCAGTCTATGTACCCATGAAATTAAATAAAGTTAGTTACAAGGTTTCATTAAAATCGTGCAAATAACCAATCGCCAACAACAATCTTGTTCATAAATGATCTGTAAGCTTCCTCAGCACCCTGTCAAATGCCAATCAGCTTACAATGTTTCCATCCCGTGTAAATTCAATAAATTATAAAATTATATTTTTATCAGGACTACTCATGACATCCGTCCACATATAAAAAAAGGGGGGGGGGCATCCTCAGCCCGTCACATTATTTAAACACCCTTGATAATTTACTTCACATCCTTGTAAATCATAACCAAGTTCCATTTTTCGTTTCAAATATTTCATTTAATAAAGACTTCAAAGTTCAATGAAATATAACAAAACAGTCAGTACATCTATGAGTATATAAAGTCCTAGCTTAACATCTCTGGCCTAATAAAACACAGTGGATTGCGGTGTCCGTGCGGTGGAGAAATTATACACTACTTAATTTGTATTAGTTTACATTATTTTCTTTTACCTAAGTCACTAGTAATTTACAGTCAGTGATGTTGATGACGTAATATGATCTGATCGTTACGATCGTCGTGATGAAACTGGCGTTCGCTGCTCATATATATAACCTTCCATAAATGGTCACGTGATCACAACAACCAATGAATAATTGTCCTTTCTGGAGCAACTCGGAACTACTTTACATACATTTTGTATAATACAAAGAAAATAACATCGCTCAAAATGTCCTTTCTACATGTAAAGTGGGAGCTATAAATTCTATTCGATATACTTTAGAAAACAAGTTCAACAAACAATCTGTAATAAAACGGACACACACAATCCATGGCGTAGTAATACCGAACAATAATGCAAACACATAAGTATTACGCTACACATTCAAGTTCCAAAACATTTCGTCAAATACAGCATAATTAAATGACAATACTGCAATAAAATAACATTTAAGTATCAATTATGAATATTTGAGGACACGGACAGTGTTATTTCGATCTTATCAATTGTAAAACAACAATGTTTATGTCACATGACTAATTTCTTCGTAAGAAAGATGGCAGGCGCCCAATTTACAACACATGTGATAATGCTGAAATAAGTAAGTAAATTACAGTTGTAATATGGTAGATAATGATGAAAAACTGACATACAACATCTCAGTATCACTGTCCCTTACTGTCTGTTCAACAATATCTCGCTAGATGTCTGTAACACAAAAACAGCATTTGTTTACATTAATACAATGTCGAAGTGCAATGTGTATTGCATCAATAATTCAAGTAAACAATAAGATAATGAAATAACATCAACAATAAAACATTTCTTATAGATTTACAACTGGATGCTACTTTACTTCACTTACAAACACTCCACCATCAGCCTGTGATTAATTAATATGCAATATTCTAAAGTCCAACCCCCATGCATATTACAGATCCCTATGACGGCTTCCGGTTTTTAAGGGTCTACTTGGTTTGGGGTAACATTATTTTGGCTACACCCTGCATCAGAACCTGTGCAGAAAAATCCACATGAAAAATCCACATGAATAGTACATGGATGATGCAAAATCATTATTGAAGAAATCTAAACTTCACATTTTGACTGGAGCTCTTCTAAAAATGTGAACACTTTTGATGTAATTTTCAGTCCCGTGGTAGCTGCAAAACTGTATAGTATTATGCTTTTATGTAGTCTTTGACTAAAGTCTGGTATATAAAACTACAACGCTACAGTTCTGCAGCTAGTTGTATGGCTACTGCTATATGTTTGTCAGAAAACTATTACGCTTTCCAAGACTTGAAAATTAATTCTAAACGGGTAAGTATACTTGATGTGCATTCTACAGGGTAGCTGCTTATATAATTTGAGATGAAAATTGTTAACGTAATAGTTTGTGATCAGAACATCATAATAAATTATTACAATGGTTTAGGCACCTGATCACCTAAGTTGCACCTATACCTGTTTACTGTCTGTCCGGAAGGCTGTCGTGTAGCATTTCATGATTGACTTCCGGACCTCAAAGACCTCTACTTCCGCCGTTACAGATTCTCCGACAAATGCTACATAATGAATTAATAAAAAGGAATATTTGTTACGAGAAGAATCATCATGAAAATTTCATTTGTTTGCCAAGGAAATTTAGACAAATTTTGACACCTGGAGCGACGAATTTCGTTTCCTGCGATAAGTACACGGCCCCTGGACCCGGAAGTTTCGTAGAGCACACCGCAGAAATCAATCTGCAAGCAAAGGATGTACTATTACATTCAGACCAATTCATTATTCTTCTTTCCTCATTCAACATTTTTTTGCTTCTAAGTCTTTGAAACGGTTTAATAAATTGTCTTCGCTTTCATTTATATATAGATCTATTAAGTAGTATTTATTCCTTACATTTTTTTAAAGAGAAATTACATATCTTTAATCTGGATTTGCATATAACCTAGTTTACACAAAAAAAGCAACAAAGGATAAAGGGATACCCGTAAACTTTACGGAATTTAAAGAGAAGAAAGAAAACGGGAAGGAACGAAGAGAAAAACAGAGCAAAAAGAAACGAAATGAAAAGTAAACAAAGAGAGGAGAAAACGGAGAAGTTTAGATTATTATTATTATAATTTTTTTTTTTTTGTAAAAACTGAATTTGTCCTAATTATATCGATTTCACTGAATGCTAAACAAATTGTATTCATTTCAGTTTGGTTTGTGTATACAAGTGCGGAGGGGGTAACATTATTTAATTATTTTTTATATATCTTTTATCTATCTTTATGTATAAGGTTATATAAAAAAACACAAAGATCGAATTTTCCATTAATGCAGTCAATTTGTGTTTTCGGAGAGTTTTTCCGATACGTCAGATCCAAATAACAAATAAAATATTTTTTCATTTCGACAGTTAAAAAAAACTTTAATCGTAATAAAAACAACATTTAACATATCAATCATGTACTTTGAGAATATTAAACTTGTTGATCAATTATCAGTTCGGAAATTCATACTGCTAAATGTTGCTTTTATTCAGTTATCCTGGAAATGCATTTGGCCATCTTGATTAGGGTACCTCTCCCTAGGCCTATGAGTAATGTAAAATATGACTGAACGTAAATCAAGGGATTAAAATTCAGTGAATGTAAATTTTTCAATATTTTATAGGCCTTACTGCAGAAAATGCAATACAAATAAATTTTAAAACTTACCCGTTTATAAGGACACCGTGTACGATACATTTTCCATACTTAGTCATCTCAGCAAAGTCGGGATCGGTATGCAATGGGTTGTTGTCCAAACTTATTTTAGCGAAAGAAATTACGTCGTCTTTTGTGAAAGTTTTTGTTAATGTAGCTTTGTCTCCTACATTTACCGATGTATATTTTCTGGTAGAAAGAGACCTTGCACAATCTGCAATGATTACATAATTAGAATATCGCGTACAAAAACTTTTATTTTAAATCGGCTCGCACTACACATTGCATTGCTCGTCACAGCGCAAAGGGAGGCAACTTCATCATTTGCATGTATCGATATATTAAGGATTAAAAAAATTAAATTGAAATTGAATATGCTGAATTGAAGTGAACTTTGAAAAGGGTTTTAGAAATTGATGAATTCAATGTATTGTAATGTATCTATAGAAACGTTCAAAACAGTATATAGTCTTCATAACATTTTACACAATTTTAAAACAGAAATACTTGAATAGCAATCTCTTCTGAGTTTGAGATAAGAAAATTTATATAAAATTCATATTAATGGGCCCTCATTTGCATAATGCCGTTTATGCATAAAATTATCACACAAGCCAACCGATTGATCATCGTCATGAAATCGAAAAATAAGACAGTTATTCCTTACATTTACATGCTCTTGATTCCGCCAATCCACGTGTACAAGTTCTGCTTCTGTATAGCTATTAACATGATTAATTTGTCCTGCCCTGCAGGTGAATTTTTTTAACCGCGCCTACTGATGAACCAGTACATTGATGGAGAAATAAAGTACATAAAGTACTATTTGTAATTCTATCTCGGACAAAGACATTGGAAATGTAAATATTCATGGTTTAATTCTTAGAAATTTTTTTTGTGTAATATGCTAAAACACACTCATGAAAATGTTCCTAGAAACTTTGCAGTTTTATAGAAAACTTTATACATTTCTAAAACCACCATCTGTTGATGACAGCATGAAGTCTACGCCTCAAGAAGTTCCACAACATGACAAACATGGGGACATGGTACAACCTGAGTGTCATCAAACCAAAGGAAGTGGATACAGCATTCCACCTCAGCTTGTCCAACAGATTCCAGTTGCTACAAGACCAGCTAGAAAACAATGATACCAACATCGAGACCCAATGGAGGCACACCAAGAAAATATGGCGAAACTCATAAGAGGAAGTCCTTGGCAGAAGAAAGACTCAACACAAAGAGTGGATCTCTGTTGATACCATGGGAAAACTAGATGTGAGGAAGGAAAAGAAACGGCACTGAATATAAGGATCAGGACAAGAACAGCAAAAGCAAACGCTCAAACTACACAGCCATATATAAAGAAGTTTAAAAAAGCATTAGGAAAGATGAACGGGATCACATTGACATCTGTCCAATTGAGCAGAAGAAGCACGACTATGAAAGAGAACAGCAAAAGCTCAAGAGGACTACACAGTCACAGATAAAGAAGTTAAGAAAAGCATCAGGAAAGATTACGGGATCACATTGAAACCTGTCCAAACGAGCTGAAGAAGCAGCGGGACAAGGAAACCTGAGATAACTGTCTATATGGTCACAAAGAAGCTCTCCAACAAGTTCCAGCAGACAGTCAAGGCAGTGGCGGACAAGAACGGGAAACCTCGTACAAAACAAAAGTGCAAATGACGAGCTGGACAGAACACACTGGAGAGCTACAAGTATTTTAGAAATAGACTTACACCAGAAACACATCCGTACATTTAACCAGCCGATACAGACATCCCATCAACTGTGACAAGCCAACAAAGACAGAGATCAGGAAAGCAATTAATAAATTTAAGAATGGAAGAGTGGCAGGGCTTAATGAGATACCAGCAAAAGCCATCAAAGCTGATACAGAGACAGCTGTTAACATCGTATTCAACCTCTTCAAGGAGATCTGAGATGAAGAGAACTTTCCGGAGAAATGGAAAGAAAGCATCCTTATTATGCTGCCAAAGAAGAGAGATCTCGAATTACACGTGTGTCAATGCCTTGTAAGGTCCTCACTAGGATCCTTCTCGAGAGTATGAGGCAGTGGATCCAAAGCTCCGTGACCAGCAAGCTGTTATTAGAGCCAGCAGATCATGCGCTGCCCAAATAGCCAGTCTGCACATCTTCATTGAACAATTACTTAAGTAGAGGCCCCTATCTATATCAACTTCATCGACAATGAGAAAACATTCGACAACAATGACCGATAGAACTATATGTAAGATACTGAGGCATTATGCCTGAAAGGATCTCAAGCAAAAAAACTATGAAAGAGTGCAGGCATGAACCAATGGACAAATCAATCAGATAGAAGAAGGGCTTAATGGGACACACGCTTAGGAAGCCATTATCCAGCATCACATGCAAGGTTCTGACTTGGAACCAACAGGGCAGAAGAAAGTGGGGATGTCCAAAAAAAATGGAGGTGTGACTCGGAGTCGGAATAAAGACAAATGGTCTAGTAGGATGCAGTGAAAGCAACCTAGAATCGAGTTCGTTGGAGGACTGTCGTCGACGGCCTTTGTTCTTCACGGAACGATAGGCCTAAGTAAGTAAGTAACGGAGTCGAAGGTGATATAGAAAAGCGCTCGTGTGTATGAATTAGTTTTTCCTTGTGAGTGTAAAGAAAGAGTTCTTGTGTGAGTAATGGGAGTGATTTAATTTGCATCGGGATCGATATAAAATGCTGTATTTATCAATATGCTATTTTCCAAAGGGATGCTCCACTTTAGAGAGCAACTTTTGGCAATGCAATTGTATGTCTGTTTGTGGTTGGGTTAGTTCATCCTGTGCGAAACGGAAATGACGTAATTTGCATCGTGGTCGATTTCGAATGCTGCATTGATTAAAAAAATATGCTCTTTGCGAGAAGATGCTCCGTTTTGCACTGCCCTTGTTTTTTTGCCTTTTTCAACATAATTTTGTTAAAGAGACATTTTATTATATTATTTGTGGCGGATTTTACTGTGATCTGTGACTGTCTAATGTGAAAAGCTGAAATAACACTGTAAAAGGGACCAATAAATTACTCTTTAAGTGTTGATGTATGTAGAAGTAAAATCGGGTAATGCATATGTAAATTAAACAAAATACTATACCTTTGATGTTTTGTATCAATTGCAAATGTTTTGAGCCAAAATTGATTATTGCAGACTTAATACTTGTGATTTGATTCATACCCCATTGCACTTTATTCTGTGACAATTTTATTATCTATATCAAAGCGATGAGATAATAGGCAAAATACTCTACCTCCTACAAATCTCTATAATGATAATCTTGAGATATCCATCTGATAAAATGGAAGATGGGCCGATCATTTTTTTTTGTATTTGACGTCAGTCTGCGAAAGATCATACGTTTACACAAAAACACTATGTTTAACCGATGATCCGTCATCATAAAAAAGTAAAGAACTTTAATTAAATGGTAATGTCGCGGGGCAAATGATTTTTTAAAACAGGAAATTAAAAAAAAAAAGACCGTATATTAGGTTCCGTGTGAACAAATTGGTTTTCTGAATGTAGAAAATCAATCAATGATTTAAGCAAAAGTGACGTTTAATATAGCAATAAAGATAGCGTAAGGAACGGCTAAATATAACAGATCTGACTTCTAACTTAGCTACAGTTAGTCAATAAACGACTCAGGTTTCGTCGTTACCTTCAAAATCTAAACAAATATTCCACACATCATATAACCATCACACTACTGAAAAGAAGTACCATAAGAGTCATTAAATTAAATGTCGCTTTATTGTCTCATATCCTGATGAATGACACATATTGAGTGCTTAGGTTTTCCGCTTCTTTCGTTGATTTTAACTTTATGATTTACTGATGCTCAAACATGTACTTGCTCTCTAGAAAGGGTTGTAAATTATGGTTTTGTATCGAATGAGGAATGGTTATTGTCAGGATATGCATTTTCGGTTTTATAGTGATAGGCCTAGGTAACGGAGTTCAACAGCCGACAATGGCACACAGAAATATTTCGAAGCCAACAAAATCCAAGAAAACTCGAACTTTGGGGCAGGGAACTTTAGGATGCCCAGGGCGATCCTGCAGACTTGGATGTGCTTTTTCTACCAGACAAAAGCAGCAGAAAGAGAGACCAAAGGTGATCGTCAATGATTTGTCAACCAAAACGAAGACTTTGCCCAAGCCAGACTGCTATTCCTTGGACGAAGGTCTACTGGAAGTAAATAAACCAGATGATAAAACTGATGAGTGTGTGGCGGATTATGTGTCTTCAAATGAACTTTCAAGAAGTAACTCTCTAGACAGCATAATAAGTGGCCTTTCAGACGATTCCGCGGCGTCAGAAGAAAGGCAAAATACCCTGCAATCCGTAGCTTCATATCTAAGCATTGGCTCTAAGGAGAGGCCTAGTACCGGAAATGACATCATCTCAACTGAAAGTAACACAAAGGAATACATTTCAAATGACGAGGAAAGTTCCGAAATTAGCACTTTCACAGGCAATGTGTCAGAAACTGATACAAATGAAAACTGTGAAGAAACATCACAATTCAGCTCATCTGGAATAGCAAGTGAAACTCCAACTGAATGTCGTTCTAGCAACGAGGAGGAAGAGGAGGAAAGAAAAGGACCCACCAGATGTGTTTCCTTTATAACACCAAAGAAAGTAAAGGAAGAACATAATGAAGAGAATCAAAAATCAGAAGATATTAACCATTGTAAACCTCATTATCGACTGAGAAGAACAAAGAGCTTTGATCCGACCTTGGAAAAATCACAAACTTATCTTCATGGTCAGAATAAGAATTTTAGTCGTGCCAACGCCTACCTGACCCCAGCAAGACCAGGTCTGCGAAAACTTCAAATCAACTACACTCAGACTAATACTGAAAACAATCACCTTTGTATATTTGCAGACCTCATAAGGACGTCTCATAAGAGAAATTTTCTCACAGAGGAGGCCATAAAAAACCTCGAGAGAAGACTTCAAATACGCCGGAGTGATCCCAACAGGTCCACGTCATATTACGTCAACAAAGGTATCAAGGACCCAATTAGGAGCAAGAAAAAGAAAACGGTTCGGACAATAGCGGAAAAGGATCAAGAAAGAAGGGATAGAATTGCAAAAACAACAGAGGAGATGAAACTCGGATATATTCCAACTGCTAAGACGATAAAGTCTGTTACATACGAGGAGATGCAGTTAATACGACAGTGCTCCTATCTAAGGATTGACCCTAAACTTCAGAGGCATGAGTCCTCAGATAATATTCAAGAAGTGGGCTCT